CTGTCTTAACACCAGACATTTATAGAGATCATCCCCTATTCCTTAAATTTTCTCCCTCCACATCTCTATCTATTTGAAATCCTTATCTTCTTCAAGTCTCAACTCAAGTACCACATCCTCTATGAAAATCTATGGTACACCACCCCCAACTAAAGTTAATATTATTATCTTCAAATTTTCTTTGCTTTGATCTCTCCTGGTCTTTATTACATTCTCCTTCACATGATACTGGTCTGTATATTTGTCATATCTCCCTTGTTAGCTTCTTGTGGGAAAAGACTGGGTTGTAAATTCCAGCTCAAGTGCCACTATCCTACCCTGTTCCTCAAGTTGCTCCCCAAATAACTTTGGATTCATTATATATTCATATGCACATACATATATAAGAAATATATATAAAAATATATTTAAAATCTGCTTATCTGGGCCTATGCTATTTCCTCCTAATAGAATGTATGTTCCTTGATAGAAGGTACTGTTCCTTCTTTGGTTTTGTATCCTCACCACCTAGTACAGTTCCTGGAACAAAGTAGGCATTTACTAAATGTCAATTGAATGAATGAGCCATTTTTCTGTTATCTATTGGCTTTATACTTTAAAAAGTTAGGGAAAATGGTAAATATAGACCCAGAAATTTCAACCTTCATCCAATTATAAAACAGTGGTGATCCTGTAATTTTTAAAGAATGATATGCTTGGTGTTCTGAATTCTTGCAGGTGACAAGAGAAAATAAATGGAAGGAGTGAATCACACCACCTACGTTACAAGATTTGTTCTCCTAGGACTTTCTGCCCATCCAAAGCTTGAGAAAAGTTTCTTTGTGCTAATCTTAGTTATGTACTTGGTAATCCTTCTGGGCAATGGTATCCTTATCATAGTAACTATCTATGACACCCACCTGCACACACCCATGTACTTCTTGCTTGGCAACCTCTCCTTCCTGGACGTTTGCTACACATCCTCTTCTGTCCCTGTAATTCTCGACAGTTTCCTCACCCCACAGAAAACCATTTCCTTCTCTGGCTGTACAATGCAAATGTTTCTGTCCTTCGCTATGGGAGCAACTGAGTGCGTCCTCCTGAGCATGATGGCATTTGACTGCTATGTGGCCATCTGCAACCCCCTGAGATATCCCATCATCATGAGCAAGGCTGCCTATGTGCCAATGGCAATGGGATCTTGGATAGCAGGAGCTGTCAATTCAGTTGTGCAGACGTCTCTCGCTATGCAATTTCCTTTTTGTGGGGACAATGTCATCAATCATTTCACTTGTGAAATTCTAGCTGTCCTCAAACTGGCCTGTGCAGATATCATAATCAATGTGATTAACATGGTGGTGGCAAATATGATTTTTCTAGTTATGCCAGTTCTGTTCATTTTTGTTTCCTATGTTTTCATTATTTCCACCATTTTGAGGATCCCTTCGGCAAAGCAAAATGCAAAACTTTCTCGCCAAGTCTTACAATGAGAAGGAAAACACTACTTCTTGATTTAGTCAATTCCACTTTTGCACAGCTCTAATTAAGACTTAAAAGGGATGCACCCCACCACCACAACCACTCTGCCTTTCATTACAACCTGGCCCCAACCTATCCTTCCAGCCTGACTAAACATGACTCTTTTCCTGCACTCTGTAGTTCAGCTAAGCTGACTTTCTCGCTTTTCCTCACATACAATACTCCATCTTCCACCTTTTGCTCTGGCAGTCCTACCCACTTGAAATGAATTCTTTCATTATTTCTATCTCAGAGTCCCTTTCTTCTTTAAAGATGCCACCCAAGTACCAACTTCTACATGAATCCTTTCCTGATTCTTCCCAACTACTAGTGCCTTCCTTCCCAAACTATCTTGTTTTTAAACTGCTTTGGATACACTTGTTTTTACACACTTTATATTTGGGAACAAGCAATAGAAGGATACTCTTAAGACCTTCCTGAAAAACTTTAGTATCAATTGTGAGACTGGCACAGAGTCTAGTATGGCATGCCTATGTCAAGGAAGGTACTGTGCTCTATAAGCAAAACAGAATCACAGTAGCACAGTAGTAGTAGAGTTTAAATCTGGCCTCAGATACTTACTATTTGTGTGACCCCAGGCAAGTTGCTTAACCCTGTTTGCCTCAGTGTCCTCACTTATAAAATAAGGTGAAGAAGGAAACCACTTCAGTATCTTTGCCAGGAAAACTCCAAATGGGTTCACAAATAGTCAGATACAACAGAAATGATGAACAATAACAAACTTGGATAGGTAACAGCCTCTCTGACCCTCAGTTTCTTCATCTGTAAAATGAAGGGGTTGGACTAGACCACCTCCAAGGTTTCTTTCAGTGGTAGAGCTATAATCCTAGGACTGTCAGTCTGAGTGGAACATAAGCATATATAGGGGGAGTAGTATGCAATGAGGTAGAACATGTAGAGAGGTAAGAAAACTGGGGGAGAGGGTGCAGAAGGGACTTTTAGAAGGGTGTGTGGATTGAGATGGGGAGGGTGGAGGGGCTGGGGGACACTTGGAGGGGTGAGTGAAGTGGGATGTGGGAGGGTGGGGGCAGAAGATAAGGTAAAAGGGATAGAGTAAAAAGAAAGACTGAGAAAGAGAATAGTGAGTAGAAATAAGATGCAGCAAAATTCAGAAATAATTATGACTTTGAATGTGAATGGGATGTTTATAGCAGTTCTCTTTGTGGTGGCAAAGAACTGGAGATTGCAAGGATCCCCATCAATTGAAGAATGACTGAATAAGTTGTGGTGTCTGGTATGATGGAATTCCACTGTGCTATGAGAAATGATGAGTTCATTGATTTTAGAAAGGCATGGAAGGACTTGCATAAAATGAAATGATGAACAGTGAAGTGAACAGGAACTAGAGAACATTATATACAGTAACAGCGATATCGTCTTAAGAAGGACTTTGAGGAAATGTTATTTTAACTATTGTATATACCCAAATTAACTACAAAGGGCATATGAAGAAAGATGCTATCTGCATCCAGAGAAAGAATGTATAAATAGAAGTATGTATAGAATAACATGTGTGTATGTGTTTGTGTCTAATGGTAGCCATCTCTGGGATTGGGGGGGAAAATAAAGGAAAAAAATACATGATAACTTTGTTGTATATTTGGAGGTAATAGCAAATTATACAGGGTAGATTTTCAGTTTCATGTACAATCATCTTTTTTATTGTACTGTGTTATGAATATGTTTGTTTGAATTGAAAATACTATAAGATTTTTTTTTTAAAAAAGAGACAGTTTGGAGAAATGATTCTCTACGGATCATGATAACTTAATTGAAGGGACAATGTGAAAATCATGTGATCATATATATTACTATTAGGCATTGTTGTTGTTGTTGTTGTTATTGTCAATATTCATAACAATTATTATTAGAGCTACCAGAAATGAATTGAGCTGCCTCAATGGCTAGTGCATTCCCCATCATCAGAGGCTTAAAGTAGAGGTTAATTGACCACTTATTCAAGAATGTTGTAGAAGGGATTAATTTTTTTTGAATTGAGACTCAATGATGTTCTTTAAAAAAAAAAAAGGCTTGAATCCAGATTCTTACCTCAATTTCTAAGCTACTCAGGACCAGAGACAGCTACTGCAATCTTCAAGATAAAATAAAAGCATTTGTAGTTGTCTGGAAGAGCTGCTTCCATTCACATTGGCTTAGCCTAAAGAGAAAAAATAAGAGAATGTGTTTATTGAGGGTTCCAATTGTTGGATTAAAAATGCAATCAAGCTGATTAGCAAGCACTTATGTACTCACAGGCCTAGGGTCCACCAGAAACTAGGATAATTCCTGAATGGACAAACAGGGATGGTAGATTTAGTAACCACTATGAGTGAACATGACCTAGGGTTGCATAATGTTGCTATTACATACAACATTTCTAGGACAAATAATAGCCATGGAATAGGTTGATATCCAATTTTGAAGCTGCTTGGATCAAATGAAGATCTCATTAAGGGTATTTTTTCCTTCCCTCTTTGAGCCAATGAGAGTGAGGTTCAAGCATTGCCCGCTAACTTCACTTCTCCTCTACTGTAAAAGTGTATCCTTTGCACCACTTTTCCTTGAGAAAATTTTCTCATTTCTATCATCTCTCCTTTCCTCTTTCTCTGAGTAGATCTCTCTTTCTCCTCTTTCATTTTTGGAGACCATTTTAACATAATTTACTCATACCCACACCTCTGTCTATGTAAAATCTTTTAACTGCCCTAATAATGATAGAGTTCTTAGGAGTTAGATGATTCATCTTCCCATATAGGAATGTAAACACTTTAACATTATTGAATCCCTTAAGATTTTTTATGCTTTTTATGCTTCTCTTAATTCTTGTGTTTTGTGTCAGATTTTCTGTTCAGCTCTGGTTTTCTCATCAGGAATGCTTGAAAGTCCTTTGCTTCATTAATTATTCATTTATTCCCCTGAAGAATTATATTCAGTTTTGCTGGGTAGGTGATTCTTGCTTGCAATTCTAGTTTCTTTGCCTTCTTGAATACCATATTACAAGACTTACACTCCTTTAAAGTGGAAGCTACTAAATTTTGTGTGATCCTGACTGTGGCTCTACAGTATTTGAATTTTTTCTTTCTGACTGCTTGCAATATTTTCTCTTTGGTCTGGGAGCTCTGAAATTTGGTTATAATATTCATGGGAGTTTTCATTTTGAGATCTCTTTTAGGAAGTGATTGGTGGGTTCATTCAATTTCCATTTTACTCTCTGGACCTAAGATATTAGGGCACTTTCCCCTTACAATTTATTGAAATATGATGTTTTTCAGCCAGGGATTTCTTGTAGTCCAATAATTCTTAAATTATCTCTTTCCTATCTATTTTCACAGTCAGTTGTTTTTACAATGAGGTGTTTCACATTTTATTCTTTTTTTATTTTTAACTATGCTTTGTTATGTCATGATGTCTCACAGAAGTCATCAGTTTCCACTTACCCAATTTTAATTTTTTTTTGGTGAGGTAATTGGGGTTAAGTGACTTGCCCAGGGTCACACAGCTAGTGAGTGTTATGTGTCTGAGGCTGGATTTGAACTCAGGTCCTCCTGACTCCAAGGTCAGTGCTCTATCCACTGTACCTAGCTGTTTCCCAATTCTGATTTTTAAAGAATTATTTTCTTCAATGAGATTTTGTATCTCTTTTTCCACTCGGTCAATTTTCTAAAAAGGAGTTTTTTTCCTCAGTAATTTTTGTGCATCTTTTACCAATTTGTTAATTTTCTTTTTATAATTTTTTTTGCATCACTTTAATTTATTTTTCTGATTTTTTCCTCTACCATTCATCTTTTCCTTTAAGTCTTCGAGGAATTCTTTTTGTCTTGGGTCCAAATAGCATTTTTCTTTTAAGTTTTGTTTGTTGTGGTTTTTGCATTATTGTCTTCTTCTGAGTTTGTGTCTTGGTCTTGCTTGCCACCAAAGTAGCTTTTTTTCAGTTCAGTTCTTTTTTTGTTGTTTTTTGTTGTTGTTGTTGTTTGCTCACTTTTCCAGCCTATTTCTTGACTTTCTATGGTATGTTAGAGTTCTGCTCACCTAGGAAAGGGGAGGCACTGTCTCAAACTTCAGCCTTTTTTGTGCTGCTGTTTTCACAGCTATTTTGAGGGGTCTGCAGGTTTTCAGAACTTCCAAGGTGATATGATCTGGGGAATGGTATTGCCCTGATCTCCTGGTCTACACCCTGGTCTTTACCCAGGAAGAGTCTTTGCTTCCCTAAAGCTGCAAGCATTAGCAATCCTATTGGCCCTGCACTGTGACCAGGGGCCCTGCTCCCTTGTGACCAACCACAAGCATTCTTCTCCTCCCTGGAAACGCAGCCTAGAACTATGTATGAGCAATAGAGTTGCTAATCAGTGCCAGCTGTACCAAGTGCCAGCAATGGGCTCACTGTAATATCTTTCTGGCCAGTTTTCTGACCCCCTTACTGCCTCTGGGCTGAGAACTACCAAAGTTGTTGCTGCTGCAGCCACACTGTGTGTGTCACATCTGCACCTGCTTACACTCAGGTGTCACAGACTTTTCTTTCATACCTCCTGAGTTTCCTTAGGTCAGAGAAATGTCTTACCCTGACCATTTGTTGGCTATGGCACTCCAAAATTTGATTTGAGGTATTATTTTAAAGTTGTTTGGAGGTGAATGTTGAGAGAGGTCATCTGGGTTGCTGCCTCTAATCCACCATCTTGGCTCTGCCCCTAAAAGATTAATTCTTTATCTTTTACCTTCAAAGCATTGCTATTACTAGCAGGATGGTTAGATTTTATTAATGTACATGGAAGAGTGCTAATATCCTTCTGTTTTGTGCTTTTTGTATTATGGTCCCAGAGCAGACATCAATCGGTCAACAAGCATTTATTGAGTGCTTAAATATGCCAAGAACAATGTTAAGTCTTAGGGACAAAAAAGAAAGGCAAAAACATACTCTCTCCTATCAAGGAGCTCACATTCTAATGGGGGAAGACAACATGCAATTTGCTGTAGATACATAAGATATACACAGTGTAAGCAGAAGATAATCTCATAGTGAAAGCTCTACCAGTGAGCTAGGAAAAAGAAACAAAATTTGAAGGGAGAACACTTATAACTAGGAGGACCAGGAAGGGCTTCACAAGTGGCATACAACCTAAGCCTTGAAGGATGTAAGGGATTCTAAGAAGCAGAGATGAGAAGGAAGAAAAGAAGATTAACCTATTTAGAGACATGGAGGCAAGAGATGGGACTCCAAGAAGCATCAGGTTAAGGAATGAGAAGCTCTTGAGCAGCAGATTACCACAAGGAGACTCTACCATGAAGGAGCACAGAACTGTTTGTTATGTGATAGCAATGGGGAAGCAGTCGAGACTCTGAAGATAAGGGTCATCATCAGTGCACAAATGCTTTATCCTATCTCTGCAGTCACCCGCATCTGGTTGGAGAGTCTTATTGTTCAGAACAAAGAAATTATTGTTTTTGTTGCTGATTTGCTTTTTAGAGTTCAGAATTTGGTCTGTGCTAATCTAGAAAACTTCATGAGATTTTGTTGTGTTAGTCATTTAGCCTGATGGGCTTTGAATCTTCCTCTTGGGGAGAGTTCTCAAATCTCTAAATATCAATCAATCCCTAAGTCATGCATTCTTTCTCAGTGAGCCAAAGTCTATCTCAACATTGCAGTCCCATTGAATCAAAAAATTAATGAATTCATAGAAACTGCCACTTTCTGTGCTCTAATATGTCTCAGATGCAATGAGTAATATTCTGAAATGAAACTGAGAATATTTAAATAAACTATTACCTTTGCATGGGTGCTATGCCTGTGAAAAGCGAAACCTTGTAATAACAATAACTAGCATTTATGTAAGACTCTAAGGTTTGCACAGCACTTTACAAATATTATCTCATTTTATCCTTGTAACAATCTTGGGAGTTGGGTGCTATTATTTCCCTCTTTTACAGATGAGGAAACTGAAGCTGAAATATTAATTTGTTCAGAGTCTCAAAACTAGGAAATGTCTGTTGTGGGATTTGAACTTATATCTTACTTTGTCCAGGTCTAGCCCTCTAGTCACTGCATTGTATAGCTATCTAATTAGTTCAGATTGTGTAATGATTTGATCTAGTTTACCTCCTAGAACTTGAGCTAGTGAAGTGGCTTGAACTATGACTGATTCCAAGGTCAGGACTCTATGTACTGCCTCAAGTTCTTTGAGAATAGGGCTTGTGTTATATTTATCTTTACATTTCTAGAGGATAGTATATTGCCTAACATTAGTAGGTACTTAAGTGTTTGTTGAATTGAATCTGTTGAGTTCTTTGAAAACACATTTTGTTGTCTTGGTCACTTAACTTGATAGGCTTTGAATCTAGTGATGAAAAGACTAGTGTGCATAGAAGGAATCAGTGCAGCTGGGAGCATCACTTTCAGGTATTCCTTTTTTTCTGGAGAATTGGGTTTTATCCCAGTGAAAAACTCCTTCATGGGCAGAAGTACAGGAGTCAGACATATTTTGAGATTTAAAGGTAACAGTTGAAGAGTCTGAAGGGCACATACTCCCAAGATATTAAAAAATTAGGAAGTTTTCAATCCACTGTGTAAACATTCTATATTGTACTTTGGTTAAAACATGGAAAAGAATCAATCAGTGAGCATTTAGTAAGCACTTCCATGTACCAATTAATGTACTAGGTTCTAGGGATAAAATTACTAAAGATCCCTAATCAAAATGAATTAGCTATCTATTATAAAGAATCTTTCTAAAGATCCTAAGCATTCTGTTTAATGAATAACACAGGGCAAGGGAGATAGCATGGTGGGGCTGGAATGGACATGGATGGAGGGATAGATATCAACACTGATTATAATTATAGTGTGTATTGGAAGTGTGAAGTAGAGAACAATGGCTTATGCTTCATAGTCTATTAAAGATCATCACCTTTTTCACTGCTGCCTTCACCTCCTTGTTTCTCAGACTGTAGATAATGGGATTCAACATGGATGTCACTGCACCATAGAATAAAGCAATCAGTTTGTCTGAATCTGGATCCTTTGCCTTGGGTTTCAAGTACATGAAGAGTATAGTTCCAAAAAATATGATGACCACAGCCAGGTGTGCTGAACAGGTGGAGAAGGCTTTCTTCCTTCCTTCAGCTGAGTTGAGTCTCAGAATGGTGGCAAGGATAAACACATATGAGATGAGAATGAACAGCCCTGGAGTCAATGTGACCAGTGCAGCTGCTACCATTATGACAAAAGCATTGAAGGAAATGTCCACACAGGCCAGTTTCAGGACAGCCAGGATTTCACAAAAAAAATGATCAATATTATTTCCACAGAAGGAAAGCCTCAAAGCAAGGATTGTTTGCAGTAATGAATTTACACTCCCAACTATCCAGCTCAGGGCTGCCAACTGCACACAGACTCTCATATTCATGATGATTGTATATCTCAGGGGATTGCAGATGGCCACATACCGGTCAAAAGCCATCATGGCCAGCAGCACACACTCTGTTGTTCCCAGGGCAAGAGTTAGGTACATTTGTAATGCACATCCTGGGAAAGATATGGTTTTTCTGACTGATAGGAAATTGACCAACATGAAGGGAACAAAGGAGGATGTACCAAAGATGTCCATGAAGGAGAGGTTACTAAGGAAGAAATACATGGGGGTATGAAGGTTGGAATCCAGAATACTCAATGTGATGAGAGAGGAGTTCCCTAGTAAGATGACCAAATATATCCCCAAGCATAACACAAAGAGAACAATCTCAACATTGGGATGCTTAGAAAGCCCTAGCAGAAAGAATTCCAGCACAATAGTCTGATTTGCGCCATTCATTCTCTTATCCCTCTCATATTTTTAGCATTATGAACTCAGAGAAAGACCCAGGACATTCACATACACAATATTCTTTATGGTATGGGTGAAGTGTCCAAAATAGGGTTAGATCTGATTGCATTTTGTATCCTCATCTTGAGCTACACAGATTTGTGTCAGTACTTAAATTAAGAGTTCTAGTGTATAATTCATGACTGCAAAGTCATTCTTATGCTAGACCTAATTTCTCCCTAGTCAAAAATACTATCACTTCTATGGATCTGGGCAAATAAAGAAACACAAATACCCAAATAGGAAATGCAAAAAGATCAGCTAACATGAGTTTCTTCATTGTATCTTATAGTTCACTTGCTTAGGTATGGGACAGGGCAGTTGCTATACGTTATATATACACTGTACATTATGTGAGAAAAGGGGAGAAAGATATTTTTTAAGCCCTTGTAATGTGATTTTAGAAATTCCTGACTTAAACCTGGCACTCATGAAAGTTTACATCTCTTTCTGCTGCAGATGCTTTTATATCCATGAAATAATCCAGGAGCAGAATACTTCAATTTTTCAGTCTCTTCATAAATGCCATTTGATAATTCCAGTCATGTGAGTGTTGAGAATCGTTGACACAACATTATTTCTGTAATGAGAAAAGAGGAGCAATGATTGGGTTAGTTGTTTGGTATTTACTATCTTCATCACCTCCAACATTATTGTATTGAAAAGAAGTATAATTGGCTAAGGTAACCACCATAAGACACACCTAGGACAAATATCAAGAAATATGCCATTAAATTAACTTTTAAAGGACAAAATAATTTAAAAATAGGTAAGAACTTAAACCTTGGAATGCCATGTCTGTTCAGGGAGATCAAGACCATGGGACAATGAGTAGCCATGGCTTGAAAGGACATTACTGAGTGATGAAGCAGGGTAGGTTTGGGGAAGAATTCACTTGGGTTACTCTCAGGGAGATGAGGAGAAGGAAAGAGACAAGAAAACAATATGTGGTAGTTTTCTATTTTAAGGAATTTTTGTAGTTAGCTAGCTCACTAGATGTGAAGTTCAGTTGTGTCTACCTACTGAAGTAGCATGAGCTCTGGCAGTCTTCTCTAAATTTTAGGAAACTAGAGCAAAGCATTGACTACCCAAGCCTAGTTACTGGGCCTGAAAAACTCTTGATTCACAGATTTCAGTGTTTGTATCCTACATGAATACCATTCCCAATCTATGCTCTACTTGTTAGGGCACATATTTTGTGTTAGATTCAACCATTTTATAGGGAACTTTGCATTTTGAAATCACATTTATTTCTTTTCCCAATCTCCCAACTCTCTACCCATATTCTGATATTTATATAAAACTTTAAAATTTTCAGACAACTTGAAATACAGTGTCTAATTTGAACATCACAGACATACTGTAAAATAGGTACTACAGGTACTATTATTACTATTAAAAACCCCAATAATGAAACTGAGACTCAGAGAAGTTAAATTACTTGCCTATGGATATACAGCTACTAAGTGTGGAAACCAGTATTTGGAGGCAGGTCTTTCTGACTACAAGTCCAATGCTATTCATGAAACCATGCTTCTTCCCCTTTAGTGGTACTCCATTGCTTCCTGATTAAAGTCAGATATTCATGATTGTCAACAACATGGACCTAACCCTATCTTTCTGCTTTCATCCTTCACTACTCATTCTCATATTCCCAAAGCTTTAGCCCAACCAAAATACCATCATCCCGGGTTTCAGGGAACATGCCCTATGCCTTTCTGCCTTTCTGCTTTTCTGCACCCTTTCCCCTCCTCCTCCAGTTATTCCTCTACTTCTCTCTGGCATCAACCAACACTGTATCATCTTTGCCTTCTAAATAATTTGAGTATCAGTCTACTAAGTGATATAGCCTCAATTCAGATGCTCCTCACTTTGTGAAGTCTTCCTTGATCCACTTAGCCTCCTATAGGACTTGATTTTTATTTTCCCTTTTTGATAATACATTCTATTTTCCATTATTATTATGTGTATGCATTTGTATTTTCACGTACTAGAATATAAGTGCCTCAATATTGCATTCTTCCTTCTATCCTTAATGCCTTGGTCAATGACCATTGGGTGAATGAATGAGAAGTGGTGTAGTGCTGTGGAAAAAGGCAAGGTCTTATAGCAAGAAGACCCAGGTTCAAGTCATTTTCTCCACCAACTCACTAGTTACATGATTGTGAGCAAATCATTTTTATTTTCTGAGACTGCTCCTTCATCTATTAAATGGGAATTATGCTTTTTTATTAGCTACCTCATATTTTATGAGGAGAGAACTTTGTAAGCCTTATAGCACTATGCAGATGTGATTTATTATCATAACTGTAGTCATCAGTGAAACTTTTCAGTAATAAACACAAATATGACTTGACATAAAGTCTTAGCCCCACCGCTCACTAGCTATGTGTTTTTGATAAAACTATCTGGGTCTCACTTTCATCCTTTATAAAAAGAGGAGGTTGGATCAAATCAGATTTAGGAGTTTTTATGAAATGTCCAATTTTATTTTTTGAATTAATTACTTTTCTCCCCCTTACTCCTTTACATCAAAAAAGGGAAAAGATTAAGAAAAACAAAACCTTTGTAACTCAAATGAACAGTCAAGCAAACAAATTCCTACACTGGTCATGCCTCCAAATCTGTGTCTCTTTCTGCATATTTAGTTCGTCACCTCTGTATCTGCAGATGTCTGCAGATAGCATTCTCTACCAATGGTCCATAGAAATCATGTTGGTTTATTGAGGGTGTAGAATCTACATGTGTCTATGGTCCCTTCCAGCTTTAGCAATGAATGAGCTTATGAAATGCAGAGTTGACTTTCTTAGTTTTAGCAAGCATTTGGAAAGAACTTTTTTTATGTTTAACTTTACTATTACTCACTGTGTAAAATCTTAAGTAGAAAAAAAAAAACTGTAGTCCAGAGAGAGACCAGTGAATATCTTTTGAAATAGCAGAGGGAATTGGAAAATACTTGAACATAAGATTATTTTCATCCCCTGAACGATATTAGATATGGAAAAGAAGCAACTAGTGTCTAATCAGTTGACAGTTCTGAGGCTGATGTTTCTACTTTTTGGTTTGAACATTCAGGTTCTTTTTTGCCACTTCTTTTGTGGGAATCTTTGTGTCTCCAAAGCACTTACCCTGTTTATTTCTTCTCATTTGCTGAGAAGGGATGTCTTTGAATCAAATTCTGATGACTTCTAGTAAAAAATTTAGTCACACTCTTCTTCTAAAATAACTCATTAAACAGCACTTTACTAAGTATATATTCCTTACAAGATCTCTGTGAGGTAAATAGATAACTGGTATTGTCTTTTTATAGATGAGAAAACTGAGGTCCACAGAAGTAAAGTGATTTCTAAAATACTTTCCTCAAAACACTGTACAAATATAATCCCTACTTCACAGATGAGTAAACTCAGTCACCAAGAGATGAAATGATTTTTCCAAGGTCACACAGGTAGTAGATAAAGAGTCAGAATTAGAACTGAGGTCCTCTGACTCCAAGAACAGTACACTTTGCAACACAGCACAAAGCCTATTAATTCAAGGAAGCAAGCTTTTTTTCTTACTGCCACCTCCAAGATCAAATATAAAGGCCTGTGTTGGACTTTCAAAACTCTTCATAGTCTGTTACTGTTCCGCAGTCCCCAAAATACACCTTTTCTGTCTTCTTACATCTTAACCCCCTCTCTTCCATACTCTGCAATCCAGTGACACTGGTCTCATTGCTGATCCTTGATTAAGACATTCTGACTCCCGAACAAGGACATTTTCCCTGCTTGTCTCTCAAGACTAGAATGCTCTCCCACTTCATCTCTATCTTTTGGTTTCCTTGGCTTCTTTCAAGCCTCAGCTAAAATCTTAACCTTCTACAGAAAGCTTTACATGATCCTCCCTTAATTCTAGTGCCTTCCCTCTGTTGATTATTTCTAATATAGCCCATATGTATCTTGTTTGTACGTAATTGTTTGCTTGTTATCTCCTCCATTAGACTATAAGCAACTTGAGAACAGAGACTGTCTTTTGCCTTCTTTATATCCCTTGTGTTTAGCACAATGCCTGGCACATAGTGGGCAAGTTTATTGACTTTTCTAATTAGTGAAAAGTATGCTTCCTTTAAATCTTATTTCCCTTAGGCTCACTGGTGCATATTTTCAAGATGGAAGGCTAAAGTTCAGGGTACAGCCTGTGACCATGGAATAGAAAGTTTTTTTCTCTGTGCTGAGTTGGCTGAGACTGGTGGGACTCAAACCCACAGTGTGGATCTCAGCATATATCGTCCTTTAATGGACTGAGTCCAATTCATAAGTCATCCACGTAGCTCACATTTATGTAGTTCCTCACAGGTTTTAAAGAACTTACTCTTAGGGAAGACAAATGACCTATCTATGGATGTGTAATAAGTGCCAGAGGAAGGTCCTTAGTGAGAATCTGAAGAGTCTGTACTCAAAAAGGATTCTTTGTTGTGATTCATTCATTAACTTATTCATTCAGCAAACTTTTATTCAGGGCCTACCAAAATGCAAGACATAAGCACTAAGAAGTGTGGGAAACACAAAAATGAATAATGAATACATAAAAATATTTTTTCAAATTCTCATTTCAAACGAAATGAAAAAGAAAAATAAATAAGCCATGACCCTTGACCTCATGGAGCTCATGGTCTAATAAAAGTCATGTGGCAATTTGTTATTATGGAAAGAACACAGGCCCAGGAGTAAGAAAAGCTACAAGCATCTTCAATAGTAGTGACACCAACCAGCTGAGTGATCATGAGCAAGCTACTTCACTTTTCTTAGACTCAGTTTCCTCATATGTAATATGAAGGTATTAGACAGAAAATCTCTAAGGTAGCTTCCGGGTGTGAAATTATAGCATCAAATAAGAAGACGTAAAGCAGGAGAAATATAACTTCCATCTCAGAAGTGTCTCTACTAATTAACTCAAAGGATGGTTGAAAA